GAACTCACGGACCGCGAGATCGTGACCTGGCTGAAGTCGGACGCTTAACCGACTGTGCCACCCAGGCGCCCCCACAATATTCTAATTCTTAAGGTTGGCCCCACTGGCTTCTGAGTGATGATCACGGGGGTCATTGTTTGCATTTTTCAGGGAACACTGGGTCTTCTCAAGGCATGGAGGAGGGCAGTGAGTGGTCAGGAATCTCCTAGCTCGGGGACCCTTACGGCCGTCCTTACCCAAGGATGTGAATACTAGGTAGGGGACTGCCAAGCATCCTGGGATGCGCTCAGAAATGCTAAGGATATCGAGGGGACTCTTTGAAAGACGTTGTTGATGCTTCTTGGAACTTCCTGTCCTCCGAACATCCTCCTGCCCAGAGCTGGATAGATTTCAGTAAGAACCTCAAGTTCTTTGGGGAAGTTCCAGACGGGGGAGCATCCCGGATTCACATGGGTCCCCTAAGGCAGCTCAAGCAGAACAGGACCTTGACCGCAGGAGAGCCTGCCCCGCGCTGTGAGGGACGCTGAGCGGGAGCAACACCTTGAACCTCTTGGCTCCACTTGTTCTTCACACCAGGCTGCAGGGATACAGCCGAGACCTTCCAGGGGTTTCCCATGAACTTGCCTTTTAGAAAAATTGCACATGCTTCTATTAAGAAGCTATTAGGATGCGGTATTATTAGGGAGTCGCCCTGCAAAGGAGCCAAAAGAATTTGTTCTCCATGAGACATACCGGATACAAGTAAAAACCTTATGTTGCGATGTTTGCTTTTCACTGATACTGGATTCCTCCATTGGCAAGGACATCCGTCTCCATGACTAAGAAGAATCATCAGTTTCTAAAACTGGATCGAGCCAGCCCCTCACCCAGCGGCTCTCCGGCGGAAGAAGGGGACCTTGGCCAGGGGTCCCCATCAGAGTCCTCTTTCATCACGGACGTGCTAAGTATTCCCAAGCCTCCATGCTCAGAAGTGGACACGAGTGCAGGAGACCAAGGACCTTCTGAAGCCAGATGAGGTCATCTTGGACAGCAAACCTTTCCCAGGCCCACCATCCACCTCCTGATCTCTCAGTGGTGATTTAGTAGATGCATTTTGTAGCTCCTACTTTCCCCGCAGGCCTAGGCTTCGGGGCTCAATATCTCATGATCATCTTTTATTCCGTTACTGTCGAGCCAGGTGCCCTAACCCCTGATAGTGAATTCCTTATTTTTTTTTTTTTTTGACTTTTTGAATGTTTATTTTTGAGACAGAGAAGCAGAGCGTGAGCTGAGCAGGGGAGGGGTGGAGAGAGAGGGAGACACAGAATCCGAAGCAGACTCCAGGCTCCGAGCTGTCGGCACAGAGCCCGAGGCGGGACTCGAACCCGTGAGCCGCGAGATCATGACCCGAGCTGAAGTCGGATACTTAACCATCTGAGGCACCCGGGCGCCCTCATTCCTTACTATTAAAGACACGTGCAGACCCTGAAATCTTAGGTTGGTTTGTGTGGCCTCACCGACAGAGGGTTTCACTCTGCTGCATCAGAACTTGACCAGACAGAGGGCTGTAGTCTCTTGGAAATGGGTGGAAATCCCTGAGGAAGGAAATAGGAGGTGAGAAAAGCTGACTTGCCCATGAAGGTGGAAAGGGAGAAGACTCCCAAGATCGAGGTCATCCGGATCCTCTCCCTACATGGAAAGCCTGTGCCCAGAGGGCAACACCAGGAGGCAGCAACTGGCAGAGCACCTTGTTGTTTTGTGCGCCCAGAAGTCATAGTTCAGGGTTGATAACAAGCCTCAGAGGAAGAACGTTGTACAATTTTTAATTTCATTCGCTGTGCTGATGTTGGACCTCACAGGGCACAGAGCTGGCCACCTCTGACTATGCAGCGATGGTCGGTACCTCTCTCAAAAGCTCAGATCCAAAGATGGGTGTAGGGCGTCTAGAGCATTCCAAGGCTAGCGATGAGCCCTGCCATGCGCCTTCTCCTGGCCTGTGTTGTGCTCTGCGCACGGGGTTTCCAAGCAGAGCCTCCTCCGGGAGGACATGGGGACGAATGTAACATGTTCTAGAAAAATCTCAGAAATACCTGGTTTCTACGGGACTCCAGAGTAAGTCTTCTGGAAGGAATAGCTCTGACCCTCATAAATGAGCCTTTCTCCACCTGACTTGGCACCCCAAAATTAGCTTCTTGAAAAAGAGAGACTGGAACTAACATCTATCAAGCACTTAGTATGGTCCAGGTCCTGTGGTGGACACCTAACCTACATTTCCTGTTCAATCCCCACAGCTCTAAAGGTGGGTGGTGGTGTTCCCTTTTATGTGAGGAAATAGAGAATCAGAGCATCCAGTTCTCCCCAAAGGTCTCACGGATTCACGCAGCCTACCTGATCTCAAGGAACGTGAAGGTCATTTGTCTGGGTGACCCCTCTGGCTTCCCCCTGGAAAGAGCTGCCTGAAATCCAGGAGGGAAAGCGTAGAGGAAGCCAAGGTGCATTTTATGCTCTCATCTCGGAAGTTACACACCATCCCTTCCGCCGTTTTCTAGTCATTGGACATGAGTTTCTAAGCACAACGCACGCTCCGAGGGTGGAAATTAGCTTCCACCTTTCGAAGGTGGGCGTGCCAAAACCTTTGTGGACCTATTTTTTCCATCACAGTCACTGTTGGCCACTGGTTCCCAAACACCTGAGCGTGCAGGTGAACCTTAAGCCACCTTCTCGGTCCTGGCTCCCTAGGCTGAGGGGTCTCTAAGAGCGGGGACCCTTCTCAATCGCCATTGTCACCATTAGAACCAAGCACAGGGCCTGGCACGTGGTAGGTACTAAATAAAGTAATTAACAAATTGAAGACTCAAGTAATGAGTCTAATGATCACATCTCGGCTATCTGGCGCCTATCCAGGTTTATCCACTAACCAGCCAAGTGATCTCATATGAGTCATTTTCACGGGAAGGCCTCTGGGTTAGAAAGGGATCTCTACAGCCCGTCTGAGCTCTCACTCAAAGCGGGGGAATCCAGGAGCTCTAACTCGTGGAGGGGAGTTACTGCAAAAAGGATTTGCAGCCTCTGTGAACACACAAATGCGAACAGTCTCCCTGGCAGTGGGGCCATGGCTTCCTGACCGAGGATCATCTTCTTTTTACAGATTGCCCTGCTCCCCAACAGTGCTGCCGACCTGGGCAAGTACATCACTGGCAACAAAGTGCTGGCCTCAAATGCCTACCTTCCAGGACCTCCCGGGCTGCCTGGGGGCCAGGGCCCTCCTGGTGAGTTTTGGGGAGGGTCAGGGAGGGTGAGGGAGCCACCAGCCAAGACCTGCCAGAAGCTACCACAAATGCGGGCTGGACACAGATCAGACTCCATGGGTGAGGGCCCCGGCAGGTGTCCAGGGAGCTCCCACACCAGTGTGATAAGAAGCCTGGGGCGGGGGGGGTGGGGAATTGGGTCCTCGAGCCTGAGAAACCCTCACAACCAGGAGAAATCTGGGAGAAAAAGGTCGTTGTCCTGGGCTTGGGTAAGATTCTTAGAGATCATGTTAAGTTACAGAGAAACAAAAGGAAGAATTATTTCTCATGTTAACGTACAAGAATAGAATCGGGTAAGGAACCCCTAGGGCCACATCTTAATCTTAACCTCGTTCTTCCTCTTTCCCCTGTTATTTGTGAACACGTGCACATCTGTATTTCTTTTTGTATCTATATATTTTTTGTAAGTCAACTTCACTGAGGTACAGTTCTATACAGTAAAACGTACCCCGGTAATCACAGTTCAACGAGTTGTGACAAATGTATACGTCCTATATCAAGCCCTTACTAATCAGCACCCTATCACTATATCAAGACATAGATTATTTCCATCACCCCACAAAGTTCCCTTGTGTCCCTTTGCAGTTTACTCCCATGTCCCCAACTGTAGGCAGCCACTGACCCGCTTTATCACTAGTTTTGTCTGTTCTAGAACTTCAGAGCAGTGGAGTCTCATCACGGGCGTGCTTTTTGTCTGGCTTCTTGCATTCAGCGTATTGTTTTGGAGATTCACCCTTATACTTGAAGAAAACCCTAAACGTCCTATCATTCCATCAGGAAATACACAACGAGAACTTTCAAAAAATAGTTACAGCGCGTTTTGTATTTTATCGTCAGTCCCTCCATAGACAGATCAACAGAATTTTTTCCGCACCAATAAAGGAAATGACATTAGTGTTAGCAGATGATTCTAAACCATGGAGGGTCTTATCCCTGATTATCCTCACTTAGTAGTGTGCTAGATGTTAGGAGCGACCTGGCATTCTAATGAGAAAGACGAGACACAAAGAGCAAAAGCCAATAGAACAAAACAGTATCTGCATGCCCCTGAGTATGTGAACAGGGGCTTCCCACGGTGGGAGCTTATGGAAGGGAGAGACCACTGTGGCCTCCCGTGACTCTAGGACTTGGGTTTGACCTGGACATGAAAGGCCTCGTAGGGTTTGTTCAACCCGGAAGGACGTGGGCAGATTATAGGTTAGAATCTCAGAAAGAACAAAGGCTCAAAATTCTTTCCAAACTGTTTATGTGTTTTCCTTTCCACTTATACCTTAATCGCCTGGTTTCTACCAAACAGACGTACCCTGGGCCTCAGTCTGTACAAGGAGCAAGAACTGATCCAGGACTGTGGTTTACCCTCTTGTTCATCCACTTGGCCTGAGGTACTCTGGGCCATGGTGGAGTTTTCTCCAGATGCCTCCCACAGGCAGCCTCTTGCTGAGTCTAAGTAGATGTGGGTCTCCTTACGAACTGATTCCTAGCACAGAGCTCTCCACCCTTCTCTAAGACAGTGCTCTTGCTCTGCTTCCCTGGAGGAAGTTCATCTCCAGACCAGTCAATGTATCAGTCCAACAAGGACAAATGAAGTAGAAACAAGAGAACCGTTGGCTGGCTTTCTTCTCCATGAATGACTTACTAGCCCTCCTCCCCAGTTCTGCCATCTGATTTCTAACACGGTTTGAGCTGTCCAGGGTCCTTGATGGAGCAGTGAGTAACCGAGGAGTGACTTTAGCAATGGACTATGCCCTTGCTGTGCGCCTCCAATTCTTGCTCACCCCTTAATTCCAGCATCAGTTTGTGATGCCCTTCGTTGAAATGTATCAGGGCAGCCAGAGAGATTATAAGGTTTCTCCTACCCATAACTAGAAGTCCAGTCCCGAGGCTAACGATAAATCGCAGTCTGGGCCGCCAACATTGGAAACTACGGTGGATTGGAAACCTTTGACTTTGATGGCTGCTGCTCTGTGGCCCCCACAGTTATGTATAAGGTGCTTCCGTTTGCACATCAAAGCCCCACATCGTAAGGACCCTTGACAGACAGTGATCTCTGAAGTTCATTGATTGGGAAAATGAAGGCAAAATGTTATCTCTGGCCTTTCCTTGTGCTACTGGAGTTGAAGAATTTAGTTACAGGAGGAATCTGGTCCATTTCTCAGATAAACTCTTTCAGGATATGCTTAGAACCAGCGTTGAGAGTAAGGGGGTGAAACGTGTTTGGATAGAACATTAACTGTCTTTAACTTTGGCTTTGGTATAGAGCTAGAAAAGACTTCCCCAAATATGAAAAGCCTGGTCTTCATTTCTCTAACATTTGACTTGCTCTGTTTTCCGGTGCATGAAAATTATTCCATCCTGTCCCTGTGGTCTGTCAATAGTAGGAGCTAGCTAGGTATCTTCCAAAAGTATTACTGTATGCATTTGAGATAGTCATCGCCGGTGAATAATTATCGCACAGCAATCAGCCCACCCTCTTCAGTGTGCTCACTTGATGTGAAACATTTACTAAGCAGCCTGTGTGTACCTAGGACTCTGCGAGTGTGTTGGCGATTCGGACATGGCCCATGCCCTCACAAAGTCTACAGCTGAAAACAGGTTAAAACTCCTGTTGTTCCGTATGCAAAAGAGTGGAGTTTGACCCTTATCTCACACCATATACAAAAATTAACTCAAAATGGATTCTAGATCCCGATGTAAGATCTGAAATTATAAAATTCCTAGAAGGCATTATAGGAGAAACGCCTCATGATGATGGATTTGGCACAGCTTTCTTGGGTGTGACACAGATGACAAAAGGGATAATAGACAAAGGGGTCTACATCATACTTAAAAGCTGTGCGTCACAGGGTACAACCAGCAGAGTGAAAGGCAGTCTACAGAACGGGAGATGCTTGGAAATCATTCACCTGATAAGGGGTTAATATCCAGAATAGAAAAAAAACCTGCAACTCAACAACAAAAAAATCAAAGAACTCAATATAAAAATGGACAAAGGACTTGCATAGACATTTCTCCAAAGTTGATATACAAACGGCCAACAGGCGTATGAAAAGATGCTCAACATCATTAATCGTAGAGAAATGCAAACCAAACTACAGGGTATCACTTCACATCCATTAGGATCTCCCTTAGGTTAGCCACTATCGAGAAGAGAACAGGCGTAGGTGAGGCTGTGAAGAGGGGAGTCTTGTGCACTTATGGTGGAAACGTAAAATGATGCAGCCACTATGGAACACAGGGTTCCCCCAAAAATTAAAAGTAAAACTAATATGACCCAGCAATCCCACATCTGGGTATAATATCCAAAAGAATCAAAAGCAAGAGATGTTTGCTTGCCTGAATACAGGACAACACTATTCACAATAACCAGGCTACCCAAGCGTCCATCAGTGGATGAGTGTAGAAACAAAAATGTGGTATGCACAGGAAGGGAGTATTATTCAGCCTTAAAAAGAATGAAATCCCGCTGCATGCTATGACATAGATAAACTTTGAGGACATTAGGCTAAGGGAAATAAACCAGTCACAAAAAGACAAATGCCATATGATTCTATTAATACAAGGTATCCAAAGTGGTCATGTTCAGAGAGACAGAAAGTAAAATGGTGGGGGCGCGTGGGTGGCTCAGTCGGTTGAGCATCCGACTCTTGCTTTCAGCTCAAGTCATGATCTCACGGTTTGTGGGTTCGATCCCCACATTGGGCTCTGTGCTGCTCTCTCCCTGTTTCCATCTCGTTCTCTCAAAATAAATAAACTTAAAAAAAAAAAAAAAAGAATAGTGGTTGCCAGGGCGCCTGGGCGGCTCAGTTGGTTGAGCATCCGACTTTGACCTCGGCTCAGATCGTGATCTCACAGTTAGTGGGTTCGAGCCCTGCGTCGGGCTCTGTGCTGAACGCTTGCTCAGAGCCTGGAGCCTGCTTCAGACTCTGTCTCCTCTCTCTGCCCCTCCCCCACTCACGCTCTGTCTCACTCTGTCTCTCGTAAATAAATGTAAAAGAAAAAAAAAAAGAATAGTGGTTTCCAGGGGCTGGCAATAGGCACAGAGTTTTAGCTTTGCAAGATGCAAAGTTCTGCCGATCTGTTGCAAGACATGTGAACGTACTTAACATTACTAAAGTGTACATCTTAAAGTAGTTAAAATGGTAACTTTCATACCTTGTGGCGTTTACTGCAATTTAAAAAAAAAAAGGTTCTCCTAGAGCTTACACCCTTTCCCCCCTCCCCCCACCCCAGCTGACATCGGGGGCAGAGGTGAAGTCTGCACCAAGTGCTGCCCTACAACTTAGCAACCACGCTCCCCAGGAGCCAATGAGGCTCTCCCTCACTGTGTCACAGACACTGGCCACCCACCCCCCCGCAAGCCCCGCCCAAGCCGGAGTGGCTGTTTACAACTCTCTGTGTCTGCAGTTACAGACAGATGAGGCCTATAGGTCACGTCCCCATCAGCTTCCATGATAAGTAAGGCCACATTCTGGTCCTCATACAATTACTATCAAGCAGGCACAAAAGCAGTCCTGTAGCTTGCTCTTAAACTCCACACACTCCCAGCGCTCTGTCGATTTTGGCCTCAGAAAAGAATTAGAAAACAAAGCAAAACCCTCAGTGTCTACAGGGACGAGGCAGGTAGGCACAGGTGAATGCAGGGCCAGGGTGTGAGCGGTGGGGAGGAAACTAAACCAGAGAGGGCAGAGCCCCACTTTGAAGGGGCAGCCCCTGCGTACAGCTCTGGTGAGGTGTGCCAGTGGGAGAATCGTAGTCCAGGCTTTACTTCTTCCTGTTTTCAGACAGATCCCAGAAATCTCCCAGTTTTTAAACCTTAGGACATTCAGAGGATAATGGTATCCGTAAACAACTACACACACCTGTATGGAGTATACGTGTTGTGCATTTGCATAGATGGATACAGTCATATATGTCTATATCTGATATATAGCCAATGTATATATCTATGATATATACATACACCTTATATTTATACTATGATGGTACACAACGATGTAACCTGTTAATTCCCTTGCAGAGAAGAGGCGTTGAGATGCCCCCGGAGAAATGAGGTCTACAACGATTGCATAAGGGGTGGAGAATTCTGATCACGTCAAGTTTAAAATGCCGATAGGGCACCTTAGTGGAGATGTCAGAAGGCGCAGGGCAGACTGCAAAGAGAAATGGCTGTAAAGGGCTCCCAGACCCTCCTGTCGGCCAGAGCCCTTGTCCTTTTCGTGGGATATGGAGCTAATGAGATGTTCTCTGATTACAGGCTCACCAGGACCTAAGGGGAGCCCAGGCTTCCCCGGTATGCCAGGCCCTCCCGGGCAGCCCGGCCCACGGGGCTCCATGGGACCCATGGGACCATCTCCTGATCTGTCCCACATTAAGCAAGGCCGGAGGGGCCCTGTGGTCAGTACTTTATCAGCCATCCATTTGCTGCTGTTGGGGAAAGCGTGTTCTTGTCCCGTGCTTTTTTTCCTCCCCTTCAACTAGATCCCCGTGTCTTGTAGGGTCCGCCAGGTGCACCAGGAAGGGACGGCTCTAAGGTAAGTCTGATGAGTGGTCCTTACAAGCTTAAGATTTCCCATTTTCAACCTATTGGGCAGGCACCAAGTAAAGCTCAAACACTGTTTATCGTCCCCATTCTTCATGTAGCAAAATCGAGACACATCTTCCTCGCCCCCCCCCCCCAAAGCTGGAAAGGACATCTAAAAAGCAAACACCTGTGATAACAAAAACAACAACCAAAACCATCCCTGCAAAAGATTACCCCGGGGCACCTGGGTGGCTCAGTGGGTTAAGTGTCCGGCTTCGGCTCAGGTCGTGATATCGTGGTTCGTGAGTTCGAGCCCCGCGTCGGACTCTGTGCTGACAGCTCGGAGCCTGGAGCCTGCTTCGGATTCTGTGTCTCCCTCTCTCTCTGCCCCTCCCCCACTCACGCTCGGTCTCTGTCTCAAAAAAAAAGAAAGTTAAAAAAATTTTTTTAATAAAAAAAGGAAGATCACCCCTATAAATTTTAAACAAGCTGCTGGGTTGCCATAGTAGCACATGTCTTACTCTTTAGCCAGTGTTCTTTCGTGGGGCTGTGCGGTGTGTCCCCATTCTTTGACACAGTCAAGTCAAGAACAGGAAAGCTGCATTTTGTGCAAGTGGGGGTTTCGCTTCAAGAGCCGCCTGCCTCGCAAATAAGGCAGGGTGTGTTACTTTAGAAAGTTTCTAAGTTGTCACACACACACACACTGCCTGGAACACAGGCATTCCTCGTGTCAGGTCTGGTCTGGAAATACACGGCCCCGGGGGGACATCGGGATGAGAGACACTTGCCCCAAGCAGATCTGTTCCAATGAGCGGTCCCGGGAGCCGAGCTTCAAGCTCCCATTCGTTCCTGATAGGGGACACTTGTCATTTGTGCAGGGCAATGGTAACGGTGAGGGCCTAAGTAGAAGACCGGTGCTGGTGGCATCCACGTGGTCTCTGTCCACAAAGCTAATCTGACCTTCTTGCTTCCAGGGAGAGAGAGGAGCACCCGGACCCAGAGGGTCGCCAGTAAGTAGCCCTACCTGTCCCGCTCCCCCAGGGGGAATGTCCTCAGGGACGTAGCTCAGGGGGGGCTACAGGTTGGTCTTACCAGCCGAAGCCAGCCCCTTCCAGCCTTTACTGAGCCTACCTAAACAGAACTCGGTGGTTAGGGGGCGATCACGGAGGACTTTAACAGCTGGGTTGGCCTTTATTTTTGAAACCGGTCTTCTGTTTTAGTTTTCTTTTATCGTGGCAAATCTTTATCCGGAAGGTGTTCTTTTAAGGTCACAAACAAAAACCAGCATGCCACGAGCCTGTTTCCCAGTATGTCCTAAAACATCTGATGGTGCCGTCATAACCCTGAACACGTGAGAGTTTAGCCACCGCTGCAACTCGAGCAGATCGGAGGACCATCCCTTCCCAGAAAAGTACGGAGATACGCAGGGCTGCTGGGGATCTCTTGAGAGTAAATGAGCTAGGATATACACGTGGTGTCTGGGAAATGAGAAATGAAAGTCAGTATCCAAAAGACAGAAAATTCAGGCAACTCCAGTGCTATTGGAAAGATCAGTGTCATTTCTGAAGAAAAGACAGCCTTTGGCTTGGATGCGGGAGGTCTGGCTTCCCATGCCAACCCCTCCACCTCTTAACTGTCCGATCCTGGCCATCCTTAGCACCCCCAGATGTCCCTCCCCTCCCCTGTGCACTGCCAAGCAGTGTCTGAGCTGTGACCCTTCGAGCGAGCATCGGTTAATGTCAAAATACTCTCCTCCACCAAGTGCTCTGCAGATGAAATTGCTCTCTCTGGGAGCTCCGGCAGCAGACGTTGCGGGGTAATAAAGATTGTACTGCAAGCCGCTAACAAGCCCAGACCTTTCTTGTCCACACGTTATCTTGCTGTGCCCCACACAGCGCTATGTAGAAATTGAGGCTTAACAAACGCTATACATAACGATAAAAGTCCAACCGATAGAAAGATTAGGAAGTCCTTGGACCTTTCCTGGTCAATGGGGAAGGGGTGCCTTTACAAACATGCTTTCACCTTCAGTCCGGTGGCATTATACAGTCAACGATCCTTAGAGACGTTCTAACGGTTTCATTTACTTAAAAGATAACATTTTGAGCATTTGTGATGCTCTAAGCCCTTTACGTGTATTAACTCATGTAAATCCTCACGAACCCTACGAAGCCTCATGACACTGGGACAGTTATCATCCCCATTTTACAGATAGGGAGGCGAAAACCCGAAGAAATGGGGTGACTTGCCCGAGACCAGCTAGCGGGCCGCAGAGCCGAGATTCAGACCCAACGGAACCCCAACCCCTTAACCGCTGCTCTACCCTTCCATAAGTATCTCCCGGTTTTCTTTGGAAAGCAACATAGGAGAGTTCTTCTGTTCCTTGATTTGAGGTGGCCGAGAGAGGAGAGGAGAGGTGAGCGTGTCGCCACAGCTCACAGGGGAGATGAAGGGATTAGAAGACCATCTTAACTTCCCCTGCCCCCTACCAGGCTACTGTAGTAGCTGTTACGTTTGCTCCATTTGGGACACAGAGTCATGTGCCACATAGCTGCCACCAAGCAGGGGGAGTGGCAAGTCACGGGGCCCACGGAAGCCATGGCTTGGCACAGGATTGAGTGTGTGGTTTTCTGGCTTTGATTCCTCCCCCGTGCACAGGGACCCCCTGGTTCTTTTGACTTCCTGCTGCTGATGCTGGCCGACATCCGCAATGACATCGCTGAGCTGCAGGAGAAGGTGTTTGGGCACCGGACGCACTCTTCAACGGAGGAGTTCCCTTTACCTCAGGAATTTTCCAGCTCTCCGGAAGCCATGGACTTCAGCTCTGGAGACGAGTACCCAAAAACAACTGAGACAAGAGACTTGGGACCCACCAGAGACTTTTATCCTTAGCACATCCTAACATCTTCATGCCGAAGGAGGAGCAAAGAGTGTTTTCACCTGCAGTTAAATCATATACAGGAAAGAAAAAAAAAACACAAAAAAACACTGGAGACCTGGAAAAGATACATTCTTAATTTCTTGAGCTCTTTTCCTGCCTCCTCCTTCCTCCTCTTCTTCCAAACACTGTTCTCACAGTCCCCCTGCCGGGAGACATGAGGGAGTAAGTCGCTAATTACATGTTTCCTTCCAAGAGCCAGTTGGGGGGGGGGGGGGGGGGTGTGCTGGGGGTTGGCTGTCTACATTGGAACTTTCCCTCCTTCATACTGAGGAATTTCTGGATTTCTGAGTTAAGTACTCTCATGGTATCTTAAAGTTTGGCAGAATATCCAAACGGAAAAAGTGGCAAGGTAAGTTCTGAGAAAATGTGAGGTTACTTATTAAAAATATATAGATGGATATGTGTCCAAAATCAGTAATCACTCAGTATCAAAATTAGGCTGCTTCAATTAAAACGGGAAGGCAATAATGTATATTTACCTTGGCAGATAATTCTTTTTCCTTGTCAATCTAACAGTCTAATATATTTTAAATGTTCTACTCTCTTATCCAACCTCGTTTCCCAATTTTGATTAAAGAGGGAATGGAGGAGGAACAGATATTAGGGAAAATGGAGAAAAATTAGAGTCCTATGTTTACTGTCCTATAAGTTGCCACATTCTAAGTTCAAATATGACCATTAAGGGTTCATGCCCTGCATATCTGCAAGTTGCCTGTTCGGAGAAGAATGTTACTGTGGCAATAGGAGTAAAAACTCTTCTCAAAGTAAACAAATGAAGAACCCTTATTCCCATTAGAACAGTGGGCTTTGCCAGGACATTTTAAAGCTGCTTGATCAAATGAGTGGGCTTGCTCAGTAAATCACAGATATTAAATAAGGGCGGCTGACCCTTAGGGAGACGCGCTGAACGGCCAGGCTCAGACTGGGTGCCCAGAAGGTGCCATTACGCCCTGATCCTTGTTGGATCGGCGTGCACTGGGGCTGGGGGCTGCAAGGAGGTCGCTCACTGGGGTTGTGGGGGAAGGAGAAGGATAGCCTCAGGCAGGGACCCCACTGAATCTGCAAAGGCAAGTAAATTTGCCATCGTTGGGAATTGGAAGTCCTTGTCTGGGGCGGGTGAAGCTTGCCAACACAGATACGCTGTTAGAAGTTCTCTTGGATGCAGAGGGAAATAACAGTTTTTCTTGTTTGGCAGAAATTTGCTTCCCGCTCTTCCCATTTTTCCTTAATTTTCCATAACTTAGTCCAGGTTCCAGTTCTTACAGGCCTTCCTGATTCCCCTTCCTCAGCAAATGCGGGAAGCAGTTGGGAAAGCGGTGTATTCTCAAACCCACCATTGCGTCTGTGTTTGCTCGCACAGCCGCGAGCCTTTCCAGAAAAAGGCCTCCTCTGGTTCCATGGAGACTGGAGCGAGAGCAGTGCTGAAGAGACCAGGAGCACTTTCTGCTTTGGAACATCATTGGGGAACGTCTTGGTTTTGATGGGGAGCACGCGGGGCTCCTCGAGTCCGTGTTCGCGTGTACCACGTGGAAAGGCGGCCACCTGCTCGGGGCCCTTCACCCCGGCGTGGACCCGCACAGATGCTCATGTTGGGGTTCCTGTTCCCCACCCTGCCGTTTGTCCCTGTATTTCTGGGAAGGGCATGTTTATTTCTTCCATCGCCTTTTCACCCATCACATAACTATCTTCCTGGGAAAGCTTCTTTAAAAGCCACCGTTGGTGTTTGTCGTTCCATCTTTCCGTCTCCTTCCTCCAGAACGATAGGCAGGGCTTCTGGGTGCGAATCGCAAGTGACAAGAGCCTCCCTCCCCCTGTTGCCATCAAGTTAAAACCCTGGGATTCCAGTCGGTCAGCTGGTGGCTGGAGTTTCCACGGACCCTCAACACCACTATTCCTTTCTCCTGCAAAATCCCCAGTGACAGTCCGTCAGAAAGTTACAGCGACAAGCAAACACGTTCTCAGTGCGCCTTCTCTAGCATTTTCCGTCGCTCCCCAGTCTCTCCGGAGTCCCATCTTCACCGCAGAAGGCCTTGCCAACCTCGGGTTCACGAAGAGCTGAACTGAGCGGCCGTGGATTCCCATCTGGAAAGCATTTAACGTTGCCGGCTCGTGGAACACAATATTTAAAGGGTGTGGATGGATGAGTGCTAAAGAAAATTCTGCACAGGCTCCATGAGAAATGATTAGGTCCATCTTTGATTTTTTTTTTTAAATGAGGATTTGTGTTTGGAAATACGTCTCTTTAATTGTCAAATGTTCGTAATATACAACTGAAGAGCATGTTTGATGGGAGGCTAGGATAATTCATTAAAAAAATGAACTGAAGGAAGTAATCGTTGGAATTCATGAGACTAGATGATATTCTCTAGCCCAACACACAATAACCTGTGTCGTATGATCTCAGTCTGCTAGATCAGTTTATAAAATAATTGTTTATCCTCAGGTTTTCAAAACCACGGACTGCTCCCCCGGACTAAAAAGGTTCTCTGTAGGTCCAAATTGTACTGTTAATCCTAATGTATCTTTCAGTTTTGGATAGAAAACCAAAGCTCACTATGTAAAACAGGGGCTTCTCAAAACCTAACGGGGGATAAAATTTGCTACCGTTTTGCTGAGCCGCCCCATGTTTTATGGGGGGGAAAAAGATCTTTGTACACCTCCTCAACCCCTTAGCAGAAATACTGACTTTCCTTTTTTTGCACCCTGATGACTAGAACTTAGAATAGGACCTAATAATTGCTTTTCTTTTTGGAAAGCAGTGGGAATAAAAATAACGCCGTTGAGAATAGGGCACAGAAGGCACCATTTTAGTTTAGGAAAATCCTCCTCCCTTCCTAAATTCCAGAAGGAGAAATTACATGCTTTCCCAGGCCAAAGAGTGTGGGGGCACGCGGGCAATGCTGTCTCCTCTGTGCTCTGTTAAGTCCAACACCTGCTACAGAGTGAACTGACCAGCTGAAGTCGTTTCTACTCTATGAACGCAGGCGGGTTCATACAGGTAAATAATAAATACACATTGGCATGGAGGAGCATTACCCCACCAAATGTCGGGTGAAGGGGACACTGGCCATGCTCCCTTTCCAGGGTTCACAACTGTTTGCCTCGTGATCGCTTTTTCCAGGCAGGCAGGGGAAGGAGATATTCTCCGGAACTAAGCACCAGGCATCTCCTTGGGCTGAGAGCAAATCCCTCACCATACTTTGGGGGG